ACCCCATCTTCCTCGCCCCACGAACCTCGCATCCCGACCGCGACTTCGGCCTCCCCGAGCAAGAAGCCGAAGACGTCCGCCGGTTACTCCAGCTGTACGTGCAAAAGCAGGAAGAAGTCTGCCGCGGCACCCGCAAGCTGTACGAGGGTCTGCGCAAGGCGGACCGGTACCGACAAACGGTGTTCTCGTGGGCCAAGGCCGAAGCGCACAGCGGGGCCAACCGCGACATGTCCGATGGTGAGGATTGGTACGACAAGGAAGAGTGGGGTTTGACGGAAGACCTGAAGAAGGGAGAGGATGAGGTGGAGGAAGAGACGGCGGTGACGCAGAAGAAAACGAGGAATCGGAAGTAAGCAAACAACCAAAAACTGCGAACCTCCCCTCGTTATGGATTTTTCTGGCTTTTGTATACCCCTTGTCCTTTTTTTGTTCCCTTCTGCGGATATTCTCTTGTGGTCTATAACTTGTTGACTGTATATATGGCAGGCGGTCCTGAATGGACTTTTCTTTCATCATGATGTATGTCTGGTGTCTTGGTGGACTTGTTGGGTGGATGGGTTGATGGCTTAGAGAAAATGGCGTTATGGGTCTTGGGAGTTTGGCGTCTTCGGCTACGGGAATAGGTTTCTCAAGGCACGCTCCCAGGAGAGGAGCTGCTGGACAAGCGAGGCATGGGGCAATATCAGCTTTCTGCAAATTCGTCCTGCTTATCACGGCGGGACGGACGCTCTCTAGTTGTTAGCATGGTAGGCTTGATGATGGTTCGATAGTATCAATATATTGGCGAAGATTCTCGGTTCACTTTTCACGAGTCGAACACGACACATGTGGCGACGTCAACTTGGACATCGGATGGCATTCCAGATTGACGGGGCTGACTGACAGATCTCCCGCGCGTCAGCGGCGTGGGCCGGGCGTGGCACAGCGTGGCATTTAAGCTTAATGGGACGGGACCGACAAGAGTCCAGATGAAAGCTGCTCGGATTGTCATCAAAACAAACATGAGCTGCTCATTACCCCTGCGGTCACCCTCGCATCAAGTATTATTACATTCAACCCATTTCGGAATCGTAACCGCAACAGTTGTGTGGTTCAGTTCACAAGGAAGTCGGAAGTCGGGACGAACATGACACCGAAGGAGGGCGGAAGGTGGGGTAGCATCGGATATTGACGAATTAAGATTGGCTGGCCGTTTGGAAGGTTTTAAGAGATCAGACGGTTGCGGCTCCGATCGAGACTGACAAGCGATGAAAGCGTCCATCGCGAATTGTGGAATGGAACCTAACGAAGAGTTCGTCATTTCAGGCTTGAAAGCTCAGGCTTTTGCGAATTGGTTACCGTTCACAGAATGACTTTTTTCACTTCTGTCATCGGAGAAAAGATGACTGTTGAGAAGGCGTGAGATCTGGTGATACTGACTGGCCCTGTGCTACTTTTGATGTACAACATCGGAGGGAAACGGTTGACTGAAACAACAGTCCATCACGAGACCAGTCAACATTTTCCAACGTTTTCAGCAATGTGAAGTTGTCAACGAAAACTGATGATATTCCAGAGACAAATTCTGGGCATCAAAAGCTTGTCCACCCCCCATCAGCTGTCCGCCATGCATCGGGTGACGGCTCGCATGGCACACAGGGATGCGCTAATCCCTATATAGCTTAGCCTAAACCCGGCCCCAGATTGCGACAGGAACGAAAAAGGAGGGCCTGGATCCTCATCACTCGCATGGCCAGGACGGCATGGTTTTGGCCAGTGTGGGTGTGAGTGGGTTGCGGGTAGGGAAAAGAAGAAAGACATGGTCCAGGAATGGATGTGGACGGATCCGAGTCCGAACGGAAGGCAAGAAATTTGAGATTTCGGGGGAAAGAAAAGAAACTTGAACTGAACACACCACACAACCTGGACGAGCTGAGGATAAAGAAAAGGGATCCGTCGTCCCTTTTTTCGGGTTTAAGTTCGTTCACAGACTTTCGGCAGGGCTCCTGTGCGTTAGACGCAACAACACGCAACAGCACCAGGCAACCGAAGGTCGTGCTTTTGCATGTTGGATGTGGACTGGGCTGTTTTTATGTCTCCGAGGTCCGAACTAAACTCGTGTTGTTGATGATACGAGGATATCTCCGACTTTATTTCATCTCTTCGTCACTACTTCTTGCTCGTCCTTCAACTACCGACTTTCATCAGGATCTTATAACTTGACGACTACCGACAATCCTCGAGCTGGGAAAGTTATCTCCGAGACAAGACAGGACGACAACGGGAAAGCCGCATACGTACAGCACATCATCATCGGCATATCAACGGCGAAGCAGGCAGATCTTGCGGATCCTTGCATATCGGCATTGGAAGAAGGACTATGAAGGGGTGAACACGACAGGAAGGGAATCTCGAAACAACATCGATACAACAAATTTCTTCGCGTTTTGAAACGTCCAGTCTCAGGTCCCCGTCGGTCCAGGACTCAACTACTACTACGAACTCACCTCGATATCGACATCCCTCCCTCCTTTAAGAGGGTGGGTTAACGACGACGACGACCTCATCCTCCTTCATCACCACCATCTACCGAGCGTCACCACATCCCCCAACCTCAACCGGCAACCTCCAACATGGCTACCAGTGAAAAACCCACCGGGCACCACCCCGACCCGGTAGCCGTCATCGAAACCGCCGGCGCCGCAACCAACACAACAACCGAATCCGTCGCCGGTCCCGCCGCCCCTTCTTCCCCCGAAGACCCGACAAAGTCCTCCTCAAGCAGCACCAGCTCCCAAGACCAACAAATCTACCCAAAGGGCCTAAAGTTAATCCTCATCATCGCCTCCCTCTGCCTCGCCGTCTTCCTAGTTGCGCTCGACCAAACCATCATCGCCCCTGCCCTAGGAGCCATCACCCAAGAATACGGTTCAGTCAAAGACATAGGCTGGTACGGCGCCGCTTACCTCCTATCCACCACATGCTTACAACCAACCTATGGCAACCTCTACCGGATGTTTTCGGTAAAAGTTATCTACCTCTGCGCCATCTTCCTTTTTGAGATTGGCAGTCTCGTTTGCGCCGTGGCGCCTACTTCCAATGCCTTCATCGTCGGTCGGGCCGTGGCGGGGATGGGAACAGCGGGGATGTTTTCTGGTGGCGTCGTTATTTTGTCGTATACGTTACCACTGAGGATAAGACCCGCGGCGTTCGGGTTGATAGGAGCCATGTGGGGAATCGCCTCCGTCGCCGGCCCCCTTTTGGGGGGTGCGTTCACGGATAAGGTTACTTGGAGGTGGTGTTTCTACGTTAACTTGCCTATCGGCGGGGCGGCGATGGTTGCGATTTTCTTCTTTTTGCATATTCACAGGGAGGATAACCCTGAGGGTTTGACGGTGTTGCAAAGAGTGAAAAAGCTGGATTTGGTGGGCACCGCGGTGTTGATACCCGCGATTATCATGTTGTTGCTGGCGCTGCAGTGGGGAGGGGCGGAATACGCTTGGAACAATTCGAGGATTATTGGGCTTTTTGTGGGCGCGGGCGTGATGGGATGTATGTTTGTGGGGATTCAGAAGTGGAAGGGGGATAGGGGGACGATTCCGCCGAGACTTTACAAGAATCGGAATGTGGTTTGTGCCATGTTTTTCGCCTTCTTTTTCGGCGCGGGTTTCTTCAGTTTGGTGTACTACCTATGTAAGTTTTTCTCCTGGTTCTTGAGAGACTTGGTTTGCGTGGTACTGACGAGAGAGAAAACAGCCCTCTACTTCCAAGCCATCAAAGGCGACAGCGCCGTCAAAGCTGGCATCAAGCTCCTCCCCATGCTTATCTCGGTGGTCATCACCTCCGTCAGCACCGGCGGTCTCATCACCGTGGTGGGCTACTATAACCCCTTCATCCTACCCTGCATGGTCTTGTTCTCCGTCGGAGCCGGCATGATCACAACCCTCGACATCGACAGCCCCCTAAGCAAATGGTTCGGCTACCAGGTCATCGCCGGTCTCGGTATCGGCGTTGGATTCCAAACCGGTGTCCTCGTCGTCCAAAACACCGTCTCGCTCGAATGGATCCCGATTGCCACCGCTTGCGTGCAGTTCCACCAGTCTATCGGCGGCGCCATCTTTATTGCTGTTGCTCAGTCCGTCTTTCAAAACGGGTTGACCAATGGTGTCAAGAGAAATGCGCCCGGTATTCCTCCCGAGATCTTTATCAACAGTGGCGCTTCCCAGGTTAGGCCGATTTTGAAGCAGATGGGTCGTGAGGATCTGATTGAGCCCGTGTTGGAGGCATATTTGGAAGGGTTGAGACACAGCTACTACATTACCGTGGCGTGCGCGTGTTGTGCGTTTACTGTGGCTTGCGGGTTGAGCTGGAAGAAGATTCAGAGGAAGAGGGGAGGAAAGAAGGAGGACGGGGATAAGAAAGAGACAGTGGAAGAGGCGGAGGAGCAGAAGGTTCTGGATGATGAAGAAGCCGGAGTGGAGAAGCCTACGACTGCTGTCAGTGCGAATGCGAGTGAGGAGGTGAAGCCTGTTGAGGTGTTGGAGAAGGAAAAGGTTTGAACGGATGATACCCAAGATGTGTTGTATAAAGAGCGTATTATGTAAATGTGTAATGTCTTGTAGGGCGCATGAGATACGCCGAGTTGGATATATTTCGGGATTCACATACCTCTATGCATGAGCAACCACATACGTGTAGTTACCTGGATAGCTTGACAAACGTGTTATGTCCATCATACACCTGCATAAGACACACCAGAAGTCCTACAGTTCGTCGTATCAAGGTAGTGATGGACCAGCAAAGCCACAGTCTCTACTCGGAATCACAAGTCATGCCTAATACTCAACCCCCGAAAATTGCATGTGGTGATGAATATCGAGACCCAGTCGCTCACAGAGAACATGGCCCGGTCACACCATAAAAAACAACCACAGAGAATGCCATGTATACCATTAACTAGTTGTCTTTCAAAGAGCGTCTGGTACGAGGAGGTAGTGCCAAAAAGCAAAAAGAAAGATTGCTGCGCAGTCCGGGAGTCGAACCCGGGTCACTCGTTTGGGAAACGAGAGTACTAACCGTTATACTAACCGCGCTGTTTTTCTTTTGGTCTTTGCTTGTTGGAAAGTCTTTCAAACTGTTTCCATTATAAAGGGCAAGCGAAGGCGGGGGAGGGAAGGTACGATAGGCACCTGCAGGGTGTTGTTTGCTGTCTGATATATGTGGAGTGGAGTGTCTGGTGTAGGGTGCCGTGGAGGAAGGAGAGATGGCAGGGTTGTAACTTCCAAACCTAGAATGCAGAAGGAGAACGGGGAAGGAGCTGTTGAAGAAGATCTCAGTGTTTCTGGCAATTGCTACTTTGGTCCATCGCCAGAGCTTCACATGCATGTTTTCGAACTTCATATGCTTTACAGATCCGACGGAATGGTGTCGATGACAGTGGATATACTTGGAAATCTCTGAAGCTTCATGATATCGAATCCCTTTTTTTTCGTTAGGAATCGGCTTACCGCAGGCAGTCTTCAACAGTGGACAGCAACATAAAGGCAAGTCGTTGGTTAAGTCAAAAAAGGTCAATTTCGATTTTATGTGATAAAAAGATAAAGCCAAAAGATAACGAGGCAAGTCTATCGGTATATATATGCTAAAAGTGAAAAGTCCAACGAGCGCAAAAAGAGTAAACAGATCTGGCCGCCTTGCTTCGGACCAACAAAGAGAACGAGGCCGTAAAAAAGAAAAAACATGAAACGGAACAAGCAAAGTCAACCACATTGAACAACAACAACCCAAAGGGTATCAACAGCAACTCTCCTCGCACCAGGCTTCATAATGTATGCCACTCCTCCACGCGCTCCTTCATGCTCCATCACCAAGCGTCATCGTAGCCTATCCATAGACTTCTCTCCCACAACCATCATGCCCATCCATCGCCTATCCCGTCCATGAGCCCATGGAAATCTAGTAGAGCTTCGTTCGTTACAGTCGTTAAGAAGAAGAAGAAGAAAAAAATTGAAAAGGAAAAGTGAGAGCTAACAGAGTACTCATGCCATCATATCATGACCATTTATGCATCTCCAGCAACCGACAACTTCGTCCGTGCAATTCCCGCCCAAAGCTATCGACCGAGCCCCTCTCTTCGTGTCACCTTTCTCCTCCGAACGAGTAATGGGCTAGGCTAGGCGAGAACGGCTTTGGGGTTAACGAGAGTCGTGTAACCACCCAAATCCCAGTTCTTCCTTTCACCGAGTCCGTCATAGCCGGAAAAAGAGAAAGTGGATTTCGCAAAGGGTAGTTAGTAGTAAACGTTGAGGAAAGTTAACAAATGAACTGAAGTTGTTGATGGCGGCGGGGTCTGGACGGATTCGCAGTTGCTGGCTTATTTGTTATTGTCGCAAATTGTACAAATTGTCGTCGACGACAATGCATCTCGTATAGGTAGTCCGGCGACTTGAACCGATAGGTAGTAGTTGTATGCAAGACCCGCCCGCCCTAATCCGCCCACACCCAACCCCATCGGCACCAAGAATTCTCAGCCTTAGCACGTCATCGGCACCTGTTTTGGAGAAATACCATCGCGTGCTTTCGCACGCCATGGGGTTGATTATTCCCGTGACACGCGCGCCTGCGGTTGGGGTTCAGCAACACCTGCAACTGTGATGCATTTGGTGCATTTGAGGAGTGCATTTCCGCGGCTTTGGGCTGAAATAACAAAAAGGTGCCATTGCCCCGTTGAAAGGGAATTTTGAACCCAACATGGCCAAATGTCGTCTTGCCAGTCGATTTGTCGGTTTTGCACAACTTTATCTGGCTTGCTTCGTGTGCGGTCGAATGCGGACATGAATATTGCTTCGTCCTCCGTTTGTCATCAGAATAACCTCGCATCCTCTACCCCGAATTTACCTTCGGTTGAGCCACTCAATGCAATCCACCAGACTTTAGTCCGCCAACCCAGCCATCCCCGCCGTCGCCGAAAAGTTTCCATAAACACCCTCATCGCTGCTTTCGCTCCCCATACTCCTCGGGCTATGCACACCACTTGCATCGCCGCTCGCCGGCTGCTGATACCTCCGATCCGGTCCTCCTCGAACATAACTCTCGTTGAACCCGCTCATACTGCTCACGCGCCCGAACCCCGAAGACCCAGGGCTACCGACACCAAATCCGCCTTTGGGAACCGAACCAGTACCCGTCCCCAGAGCAAGCAGGCTCTGGCTCCTCATCACCTCGGCATTCACGCCCACCCCGACATTGACCGCACTCCCGCTCCTACTGAGCAATGGCTTCTCAGGCAACTTCTTCAGCAATCCCGTCGAGATGTCCAACATGCCCATAGCGAATTCCGTCAAGCCCTTATGACCCTCGCCGGGCTTCGAGCTGACGCTGAGTGTCCAGCGGTACTCGCCTAGTCGACGCCTATACCAATCTGCTTCCTCTCTTCCGGGAGACGTGGCCCACAGAAGAGATCCAAATGTGCCGATCAAAGCAAAGTTGGTTTTGGAGGCGAAGTACCAAAAGGCACGCAGATGGGAAGGCGTCAGACGGTTCACAAAGTCCATGGCGGAAATGAGGCGGGCCTTGGCAGCACTTCGGCAAATATGCTGGATATAGGGGTCGATGTTACTGGCGTTTGAGCCAGCGGTACTGCTGGTCGTGCTGTTGACACTGGCGCTGAGTGAGGCGATGGTGGAGCCAGAGGACGAAGAAGACGAAGCGTCGATCGAGCGGATGATACGGCGGTGGAGAGTGATCTCCGTGGCGAAGTAAGCAAGGTGGAGATACCCAATACTGGAGAGGCGGTTATTGTTACTCTGCGACATTGTGGCGCTTTGGAAGGTCGAATCCATGCGAACCGAAGCTGGCAAACCGCTGTACCATTCCTTCAGCTTGAGCTGAATAGGCTTGGCCAGTGACAGCACAAGTTGCGTGCCTTGAGCGCCGGCGTGGGCAACGGCCTGCGTGGCCTGTAGGGTATAGAACGTCTCGAGGATTTCGGCGAGAATCTGTGACAGCTGAACCATTTGACAGAACAAGGTACGTCCACGCTCCGTCTCAATACGCTCCTCCGCATCACTCTCCTCCCACTCGACATCAGGAAAATCATGCGGCGTCAAAATGGGCACCGCCCAGTTCGACGAAAAGATGTGGGAAGGACGCCCATGAACGAGCGCACCCCATTTATCTTGCATATACAGCGCCCAGGCGAGACGTTTTCTCAGTCCTCTTTCCCAGGGCGGGATCTTCCACGACGAGCAGTCAAGGTGTAACCCGAGCTCTTGCCCAATAGCAACCAGCTGTGCTGTGGGCGCCCACTGATCACCCTCGGGACGCTGTGAAAGCAATAGACCGGCTTGGATGGTCGACAACTTGGGTCGGTACATGGCATCTGCGAGGGTAACACGCACCAGCCTTTCCAGCTCACGAACATTGGGTCGCGGCAGTGACGCCAGCTCCTCCGAATGATCCCACCAGTTGATGGCCAATATGTATATGGCAGCGAGGAGTGGCGGCGAGAACTCTCGGTGTGATCGGTCGTACTTCTCATAGAAGACCGATTTCTGGATGATAGGAAACCCGGGATGTACTATGCGGAAGTACAGATCGATCAATTTTCGGCCATGAGGCGCGACAACACTTTCGATTTCGTCGACATCCTCCGTAATGTGAGCGTGCCCAGGCGTGAGCGAATCTGGAAGCATGAGAAAGGTATCATCGTCGCTGACTTTTCGGAGTGTCCCTCGAGCCAGCAGACTTTCGTCATGTGGGTCAAAGGGAGAGAGGTTGATGAGTGAGGGTTCAAAGTCGGTCGTCGGACCTATGTACTGGCTGTACCTGTCTGACTGGAGACCCAGGGTACGTTTTAGCAAAGTTGGACCGCCAAAGTTGGCCATTTCCTCGATTAGGGAACTGCTGGTAGCCACTGTGCTCGACAAGCTTGGTGGATTGGGTCTTCGTTTCCTGGAGATATTATCAGATCGTCCTGGGGAGCTGCTAACAACCAATCAGATATCAGACCACGTACACGAACAAATGCACACGAAGATTGAGATGGGGGTTTGAGAGATAAGCTGAGCGAACTCGCAATGAACAGGATATGGTGGGAAGAAGGGAATGAGGATGAGGCAAAGAAGACACGTGGGGTTGTCTTCCCGCTGTCCATAGATGCCATGCGTGATGAGGTAGGTGGGTAGGTAAGTTGTTATTCGCACCTTCTTTTACTACTACTTTCCTCCGCATCACTGTTCAACTTTCGTTTTCGTGGTGGAGGGCTCTCGCCCAACGAACATTCTGCGCCATTCGTCTGGCAAGCAACACAGTTTTCTTCGTCATCACTCATGACGCACTCAAGCCTACGGCGTAGACAAGATTCACAGGGAGTGGCTGCTAGTTGTCCGCTCAGGGAGTCGGTATCTGGGGTGTTGATGCCGCTTCGAAAACCGGAGAAGGAGTCGCTATAGTTGATGCTTCCTTGTCGACTGGGAGGAAAGCGTGGGGGAGGCTTGGGCGCAATGGCAATGGGAGCCGTCCTTGGGACGGCGCTGGGGACGGACATGATGACGATTAAGGGGCTGGTGAGACGATCGATCGCGGCCGGATTTACCCTGGAATGTTGTCCGAGATGAAGTCCTCTCCCGAGTATTGGACGAGAAAAGAGGTATGGGACCTGTAGGTTGGACAAACGCTACTTTCCTATCCAGATTCTGCTCTGCGACTAGGGGATAGGAACAGTGCCGCAGGTGACCGGGGGACTGATGCCGTGACCAAGTATGTCTGAGGTTGTATGCGGGTAACGCTGCCACACCCCCAACCAAGAAGAGAGAAGAGGATGATATGGACAAGTCCAAGTATTTGATACAGCTTACTGAATGGTCAGCCCCACGGGGAGGCGGGTGAAGTAGTGGCGTGCGCCCCCGTGTGGAACCCAAGCAGATTGTTGTCTTTGATACTCTGGGGACGAGGAGGCGACAGGGTCCACGGGCAATGGAACGCCTCCTGGGATGTTTCTGGACTTTTGAATCTCTTCCAGAGACGTTAGCTTTCCCCGGATTGAGCCCTGACAGGAGGATCCGCGAGCAACGCTGCAGATGGCTTGGGCTGG